AGCTTATGCATTTACTTGTTGTTTATAAAGGAAGGGATTTTCAGAACATGCAAAGTGGGGAAACCCTTTAGTAAAGGGACGTTTTGAAACTTAAATGTGCTGTTTTCAAAACATTTTATTGAAAAATTAACGAAAAAAATGTTTTTTGTGGTGGACTCTTTTTTCCAACACTGATGTCAAGAAAAAACTTTGTAATGTATAAAATAAAGAGAACTAAACTACCTCTAAAAAGACAAATTTTCCACATTATGAGCAATAATCTCACATTTTTGCTGTAAAAATAAAATGTGGAGAAAAAGCTTTTAACTGTTATTTTGTTTATGCAATGTGGCCACATCCTATATTTTAGTCTCTAATTTTGGGAAGTGATGGTTGCACGTTTCAAATAAATTTCTATTTAAAAATATCCATTTAAAAACATCCACAGAATCCTGCAATTTTTACTTTTCTTCAGTTTATTTAACTTCCTCCTCCTGTGTGACAGGTAAACTCACCTCGTACAGTGTTTTAGACAATGATCTGTTTATTTCCACTTTCACCTTTGGCCTCGCGAAGTGTTTGTGTGTTTGAAAGCTCTCACCTGATAAAGTCGCACTGACTTGTGGAAAAACAAAACAATAGACTTTCATTTTAGACCGAGGTGAACGCTGCAGAGCTCTTGCCTTGTTTTGCAGCGTTGTGTTGGCTACATCTGCTGTGGAGCTCAAGGTTAGCTCGCCCTGCCAGTCGGCTTGGCTCTCAGCCTTGAGGAGGCCTGTAGCACTCRGTGAGGGAGGAGCAGATGCAGCTCAGATTTCTGCTATCTAAGGAGTCAGTACAATAAAGTGAATGTGGTAATGATAGGCTTTAAATGTGGTTTTACAGATAACTTTTGGTATAAATTTKGATCTGAGGAGAGAGATGCCAACRTGTCACCTCCACTTACTGGCAGATGCTCTGTTCTAGATGAGAGCCTGAAGATTAGGTTTATCCGATGTGCCACTTATCTGAGACATGAGGAGAAAGAGATGTGATGGACGTTTTGAATTGGACGGCGCGAGCTCTATTCCATCTCTATTTCCAGCCAAGATTTATCTGGAAGGGAGCTGTGAGATAAGAGACTCCAGTTTGTTGTGTGGGGCTTGGTGCAGCCTGCGTCTCCTGCTGGTGCTTCCACGCCACTGCGCTGGAAATCAACATACGGAGTTGAATCTGGGACAATAAATAAAACACATCTCTAATGTGGTTCGCACACTTTGTGTAACGGTTGTGATCTGTCGCCCTTCTGATCAGATTTGTTTGACGACTTCGCTGAGGGACGGGAATGCGTGAACTGCGGGGCGATGTCGACCCCGCTCTGGAGGCGGGACGGTACCGGCCACTACCTGTGCAACGCATGCGGTTTGTACCACAAGATGAACGGCATCAACAGACCTCTGATCAAACCGCAGAGGCGGCTGGTGAGTCACAGCACCAGAGTCGTCCTTCGTCAGCCTGTTTTTACAAAAAACATTTATAGATTTTATTATTTCCTCTTTATAATATTTGACCTCTAAATGATGCTACAGTCTGCCTCGAGGAGAGTGGGWCTGTCCTGCACCAACTGTCACACCACCACCACCACCCTGTGGCGACGAAACGCAGAAGGAGAACCGGTCTGCAATGCCTGTGGGCTCTACATGAAACTCCATGGGGTGAGAGGACCAAAACAGGAAGAGCATCTTTARTTACATGGGATCTTTGGAAAACCTCTCATACAGTTTATACAAGCTTTAATAGGATAGATCTTTTTGTGGGGTAATGTGGAGTTGTTATGAGCAGTCAGTGTCTTATATGCAGTAGACAGCAGTCTGAAAGGATTACAAAACCACAGGAGGTGTAAAATGTAACACTGCTTGGATAATATATAAGCTGTTATGTTTTAGTACAAAAAAAAACTAACAGCTAATCAGAGCAGACTTTTTACCATCTAAAACTACACAAATCCAAGGGCATAACTTTAAGTCTA